GACAGGGCCATTACGGACAATTTTTAAAAAATACGACACTCCAAATTTCTTCCTTTGGTGCGACATCCTTTCCCATCCTACCTACCATCATCTCAACTTTTCTAAAAAAGGAGAGAGAGGGAGGGAATAGACACCTCTCAATAACTACTAGCAGCAGCAGTTTTGAGGCATCGCCAACCACGGGGAATGTAGCGTGGCGAAACCCGGCCAAATGGGATCCCGTTCTGTTTCACACACGGATGGTGAGCTCTGCTCCCAAAGCTCAAAGAAGACCTCATATTGCTCTTTACACAGTTTCTAGCACCTATATTGTAATACCTTAATAGGGACAGAATTCCCATTTCGCTCGTCACAATGTCGCTTGCAAAGATTGAAAGAAAACTCCTCGACCAGCGACTGCTTTATTATCGGAGACTGGTCGTTGTGTACACTGGAGAATCTTGAAGGCCATTCTTTTTTTGTTGTTTATTTTGTTTTATGTTGTATTGGCAGCTTATCCCTTCGAGATAGTGGGCACCTTTGCTAATCGGTCCTTGACCTACAAACGATTTTGTCAGGCCTTGTCGCTGCACCCCTTTCAAATCCATGTGGGGCTTAGCACATCAAGCCCCTTCCACTTAGAGATGACTGATGATTTCCAAAAATTACCTCAGCAATCTAAGCGCGGTGATTGAGAGTGGTGGTTATACCTCCCCTCGCTCACGTCAGCTCAGACCAATTACAGTTGGTGAACTTGACAGTCTTCACTTCTTCCAGAGGCATTCCCTAACACTTCGTCTTCCTTTTTTCCACCTCCAACTGGTACTTAATCGCAACCTTGACACATAGGGAAACGTGGGAGACATTAACAGGGTCTCGAGCAAAGTACTGTTATATTAGTGACCGTTTTCAGATGTTTAGTGGACCGTTTTTAGCGCTAATGGATGTATTGCAAACTAGTTCTATAAGAGGATTGTAATTGTAGGAGCGATTCTACCTGTCACCTGTCTTGTCTTGTCACGAGAAGTCGCCATACATTGTTTTCTCAGGCTTCCACACGGGTAGTCGAAAGAGGCTTTCAGGTCTAAGTTTGGTCAGCACAAACTTTGCACTCAGATCCGTCGCATTCCGGGTTAACTGGGCTAGTCAGGCTAGCATACCGGCCTCTAAGGACACTATTCATCGTGGTGTTATTCGTTTCTTTCTGGCGGATCGTGGTTTTTTTTCAAACAATATCGAGGAATACGTGGCCTATTCACATGGCAAGCAAAGCTTGAAAGACACACGTTGAGTCATTCGGGAGGAGATTGGACGGGAGGAAGCAGCACCGTTCCAGTGAGCAGTATTTCATGCTGACTGATTACTCATTTCCTACGGTCATCATTTGTCTTTTTGTTTGATGGCCACGGTTGTAGTCTCGTCGTTCAACCAAATTGGACCCGCAAAAAACCGATTTTTATCGAAGTCATTCGCCTTGAGAGTGTGAGGGAAATCAGCGTCAATATTTGTTCAAAAACTTCGTTAAAAGCCGTCTCGCTGGTGCGATTGTTCTTCGAATTGGTCTTTGCCTCTTTCAGCTTCTCAACCCTTTGGCTGACCTCCCACCTCGGGTAACCGCAAGAGTTATTATTCTATTACAATTTTTCTTCTTAGCTCACTATGCCTCATCGCATGGATGAATAAGCCACACACAACTGCGCCGTAAGACTCTAAGCGTACAAAGATAAACGACCCTTTTATGCGCATCGCCACGGAGGTCCTCGTTGTTCCTTGGCATGCTCCCAAGGTTTGCACCGCTCCGCTCATATGACTCGCCCTTTTTGATGAATATGGGCCACTTTTTTCGTGATGCAACTTCTCTTTATTCCTTAATTTCCTAAAGTATTTGCTTTTGAGATCATTACAAGACTATAAATATCGCTCATTCCTCCTTCTCTTCTTTTTACCCTTAATCCTGCCCATTCGCTGGAGTTGTTGCTTTTGAAATAGGTGGCCAGTTTGTCGTTACCAAACCGAGAAGCGCATACCGTGGCGGCAAGGAAATTCTACGTTCATTACGGCATTTTAACTCTGCGGTCTCTGATACGGCCCCTTGTACCAGAAACCCGACGGTCCCACTTTTAGCTACCGTTCGTTACTTCCTTCTCCGATTACCTCAAATAAGGTCACTCCGGTTCCCTCTAATAAAAACCGTTGTCGGGAGGAGGGATCCCTACTGTTTTTGAATAATTGTGTAGAAGTGAGAATGACGTCACCTAGATAGGTACCATCGTTTCAATTTTTTCTTCAATAGATTCTGGGCTCATCCTATCTGGGCTATGGCAATAGTCCTCATCTCCATTGCTGCAATCCCAATCCTGCACAAATAGTCCTTCAAGTGACCCCAAGGTTATTAACCCCCAGATTTTTCCAAAAGGCCGTACAAGATCCCTTTTCTCCCACCTAATTGTAACAGTGCCTCTTTCTAAAGAATCCTCGACGGTTGACGTGCCCGATCACCAAGACATCCTCCGCCGTGGCCCCAACTTCAATGGGATCCTTTTGAAGTCGGATGCTCAATAGTTCTCTTTTCATCACACCTTCTGCACGTGCTAGCGCCGAATGCTGCTCTTGTGCAATCAGTTCCACACGGGTCATCTGCATGAAATCCCTGACGTCTGTCTCCACTCAGTCAAGCCCGACGCAAGTCCCATCTCGGCCTCCTCGCTTCTGCAGCATTTCACGGTTCCTGTTAAGGACCAGCTATCCATACCGCTGGATATCCTCGGCTCTTTCCGAAAGCTACTACTATACGAGACGAACTGTTCAGTGGGCATACAGCTCACTTTGACCCTCAGGCTCACAATTTTCCCTGTGATTTGGGACAAAAATAGCTCGTTGTTAGTTCAGGTGAGAGACTCATACATGCTTCACCTGCATTCGAGAGATTTTTTTTGCTGCAACGTTTCTCCACTCGCTTTTCCACTATTGACTTTAGTTTTGTTTGAGTTGGCGTGACCCCCACCTCGTCTGTTAATCGCTAGCCATGAGAATCCGTCTTTTTCCTCAGAATTCTTTTAATTTCCAACTCATATTACCATTTTCTCATGCAGAAACTTTTTGGGTTCACCACAAGATGAAAAGTATAAATTTCGTAATAAAAATGTTAAAGTTGTCTTTTTCTTGGGGATTATTCTGGTCCTCATGTGCATGTGAAACAAAATGAAATTCTAAGGGCATCGCGTGATCGCCATTCTGTTCCTCTCATTTCCACTACGAACTTCAAAATTCATGCATACATGAGCTTTTCCGGCTAGTCTCTTCAGCTTCGGCCCGTTTCAAACTAGAGTAAAGGCTACCCGCTGTGTACAAGCTCGCTCAAAACCTCAACAGCATCCTCATCGAAACGCCCTAATAATTCTCCTCTGCTTTCACTTTTGAACCTCTCAATCCATTTCTTGGCGGCTTACTGCACTTAAAACGTCATCTCCAGCTGGTTTACTTCAGTTCCTATTGTTACTGGTTAGTCACGGCGTTTTGTTTTGCCGTCATATACCGCCACACTACGACTGACGATGAATACTGTTGTGTAGGTTTTACAATTATATTATGGGATCAATGCAAAAAAAAGTCTCTAGTGGTGGCGGGGAACTCCTTTAGCCCAGCCCACTAAACACTTGAAGCGTGCTCTCATCCGCATTCGCGCGCCTTTCCAGAGGCAAAGAAATCCGCAAATCTACTCCATCTCGTCTTAACTTTATCCCAACTCCTCTCTTATTGACGAGATGCTCTGTTGAATCGTTTTTTTTTGTGAAAATTAACGATTTTTTTCCACATGGCCTCGCGTGCCCTGTGAGCAAACAGGTGACGCATCGCGGGACTGCCAAACACCTTTACCTCGTTTTCTTTGGATTCAGGGTCACACTAATCCATAGAACTTCGCTTCTCCTCTAGAAATAGTGTTTCGTGTCATTTTCATGCATTTTTCAATTATTTCTTGCTGTATTTAGCACTGCTTCCAGATGACCACCACAGAGCCCATCGCCAAAAACTCCACACCATTTCTATCAATTTTTCATCGGAAAAAGCGCATCAATGGCACGAAATCAAGCGATGATATTAAGGTCGCAGCGGGACTACCAAAGGAACAGGTAACTAATCTGGGTTTATTTGACCCTTTTATTACTCCCAGGAACAACTAGTACATCATATTCTTGTTCCGAAGAATCTAAAGAACATTTAATAAAGTACTGGTAAAATATAATGGTGAAAACGATAAGCGAAATAGACTTTAGATTATTCAGAGTAATTTGACGTTAGAATCGCCTGAGTTCAAGAAAAGCAGCGAGTCCATAAAATGAATGGATTTCTTCACTAACTTGTGAGAGTCGCTAATTTCATCGACTAATTGTGTGATGGTGGTTTTTCAAGAATTCCACGATTCTTACGTGTATGTTGGAATGTGCAGTAATCCATAATATCTATCTGGTACTATCTTGTATCACGGATCTTCATGGTGTGTGTATGTGTGTGTGTGTGTGTGAAGGAATAATAGCATCGAGGCCGACGATGAGGCCCGAACTACGAGTCATAACTGCGATCCATTTCGTCGACTACACGACGACTTGCATCACTACGAAGAACACATTCATAGTTGAATAGTATCGCGCGTATCGATGGCGTGTAGTAGTGACGGCGAGCCGATGAAGAAAATGGCGACGGAAATGTGACTGGACACAATCATTGCTAGATACTAGACGAAAATTTATTCGAAAGCCCAATATCGAACAGTAGAATGAGTTTTGCGAAATGGGCTCTAAAAACGCTGGCGAAACGTGTAATTAGAATGTCGGCCTCTAGAGCCCTGTTCCGATTTCCGGAATAAGCATGAAGTTGTAACTAATGTGGCAGCAAGAACAGCAACAATCCAAATTAGACTTCAGTGATCGAAACGGAGAGCTTTAGGAATTTGTTAAGGTGTTTTTAAACGTATTTTCGTACTTACTCGTGTCAAAAGTATTTTCATACTTACCGTCAGAGGGATGGCGGTGAGTGTGAAAACAGAGGGCAAAACTTTTGAAAATGGCTGTCACTTCAACTTTTTCGTAAACTTTGGCAGATCCGTTTGAAATTACGGGCAACTTTAGAACTGGGGATGCATGTTCAGTTCCTGAGCCTTTGCTGAAAAATTGGGGTTTTCTTTTTGGTCTTATCGGTATACCTTTCCAAAAGAGTGAAAAACCTGATCTACAATCGAAGATTGAAAATAAACCTTTCGGAGTATGTCAGACCCTCCTTGGCCGCCACGCCTTGCAATTTTAAACAGAGACGTAGTAGGTTTGAAATCAGACCTATGAAGTGAGTTGTGTGGGTCAGGCAATATACAAGTTGGGGTTTTTATCCTCTCAGACAAGCCTGTTACCAATTTGCTGGCCCTGAAAAATTGGAAGGCTTGTTCAGCTAGAGGCAAGAGCCTGTCTGGGATTCCACTTACGCTCCGCGCAGGCAATTAAAGGGTTTTACTTAAATCTGAAAACAGGCTCGAAACGTGTAATTGAAGTTGCACATTGAAGGCACTACAGCCTTGTTCCGATTCCCAAGATGGCAGCCTTGTTCCGATTTCCGGACTAAGCAGAAATAGCAGTGAAAATACTGATGCAGTGGCAAGGCCGAAAGCGCTAGTAGAGAGTCTTACGAAGTGGAGGGGTTTTCATGCTTACCTGCTCACTGTCAGAGGTGGAATTATGAATCGTTGTTTTTTGAATCGTTTTTCTAAAAACTTCTCAGTTGTTGTTTTTCGGTCGTAAAAAACTTCCTTGGCGAGATATGACAACCCCTTTCTCAGCCGACTGGATGCGCCCCCGTTCGATGAGGTTCCCCAATGTGCACCGTGTCCTGATGTTGATGGCCCGGATGAGGCTATCATCTTGCTAGTATTTTGCGGATCTGTTCAAGGTTGCGGGCCACTTCAAAATTGGAATTCCCGACCATTCGCTCCCAAGCTTCCACGAAAAAATCTAGGTTTGTATTCTGTCGCCATTGCTGTAAACTTTACCGCTGTACCGTACCGTTTCTTCAAAAACTTCCCTGTATTTGTTTATTTGTTTATTTGTTTACTAGCACCTACGTGCACCATCGACAGCAAAAAACACGAGTGTTAGCAGCACACCAAATCAAAGGCAAATCAACCGAAACAGAGGAAAACATAAACCGTTAAATATACCAACTAAATGAGGATGGAAGCAATAAAAGGAAGTCATACAAGCCAAGTAGAACTTAGGCAGAAAAACGGTCATGCATTCAAAACCTCTTCTCCATACTACACCTCGGCACTACAATAAGGTGAACTTGATGAGCCATGTGGTCCTGCGTTAGAGGAGAGAAAAGGCTATACATAAGGCTGCGTTTATACTTTGCGGCAGCGTAGCGCTTCCAGCGTACGCCAGCGGCAGTGTCGGGGAAAGGATAGATATCGATCTAGCGTTCCCAGCGTCACCAGCGTACGCTAGCGTGCCGCTGGCGTAGCGAGGGCACGGGAAGCATAGCTATCGATCTAGCTTCACCAGCGTTTCTCCAGCGTTTTCCCAGCGCTTGCAGCGACGGGGCTAGAGAGGGGCTAGAGAGTATTGAAGGGAGGAGAGTATTTTGTACTCTCCTACTTTCAATACTCTCTAGCCCTGCTAGCCCCGTGCAAGCGCTAGCGGGGCTAGAGAGTATTGAAAGTAGGAGAGTACAAAATACTCTCCTCCCTTCAATACTCTCTAGCCCCTCTCTAGCCCCGTCGCTGCAAGCGCTGGGAAAACGCTGGAGAAACGCTGGTGAAGCTAGATCGATAGCTATGCTTCCCGTGCCCTCGCTACGCCAGCGTGCGCTACGCTAGCGTACGCTGGTGACGCTGGGAACGCTAGATCGATATCTATCCTTTCCCCGACACTGCCGCTGGCGTACGCTGGAAGCGCTACGCTGCCGCAAAGTATAAACGCAGCCTAACTAGAGAGTTCATAATTAATGAACTAAAAGCGTATGCCTTTATACTAGAGAATGACAAGCATTTCTCCAGTAAGCAACTAAGGCGGTGGGATTAGATCAGATATACAGGGGGGGCAAAAAAAAGTCATTTCGGCCGAGCCACATATCAACGAAGTTTTCGCAGCCCAGACAGGGGAAGTGGATATGAGTACCAGAGTGGAAGATACCCAAGATCTTCCTCTATAAGCTGGAGCACGCTGCCGCCAATCGCCTTCATGTACGCCAAAATATGAAGTCATCTCCAGTCGCGGCCTGACTGGAGAACACCTTTTGGAATTCTACCTGGAGGTCAGTACTCTTGATCTGACCTCCCACATCGACCAGCTACGGCAACGTCGCTACGGTCTAGGACATCATCTTCACCGTATTCGCCGAGGCGCGAGTTGATGGTATGGACCGGGGTACCTGGAATGGGAAGACCGATATTTTCTTTGTAGACCCCGACTGAAGGTGAGCGCTGGCGGTTACATCAAGTAACTCGAGAAGAATATCCTCCCTACATGTGGTCGCCCGTACCTTCTTGGAGACCTTGTGCTGCTACAGGTTTGGGTGCCACCACATGGAATCAAAGGGTTTTGGAAAAACTCCCGCCTACTTCGGAATGGAAGAACGTTGAGTACCTGGAAAAGATCTAGTATTTAAGCGGGGGTCCTGAACTAAACCCCCTCAATTACTCGGTTCGGGCGGAGCTCAACAGGGTGGTCTACAGTGGCGGAGAAATCAACGATCTCGCTCAACTCCGGTACCACTTTCGCGCGGCCGAATCTCTCGATGGCGCTCCTCCAGAAGGCTGTGGCGGAGTATCATTATAGTATTTAATGTGCTCTTTAATATGGTAGTAAAAATGTCCGATAAAAATTTAATAAAGTGTAACTTATAGCGCCTTGAAAGTCATGGAGGCAAAATGACTTTTTTTGGCCCCCCTGTATAAGAAGAAGGATCAGCCCTGAGCAACGCAACTAGCCAGGGCTATTCCGAGGCGGGCCCAAGTAGATACCTCTTTGATCTAAATACGAACCTCAGGCGTAAGACCCTGGCCCAAGTGAACCTAGATGAAACCAGGTCACTTGTTGATCCTTACCTCTTATAGTAAGTAATAATAAGCGTGAGCGCCATTTAGTGCTTAAGGCAAGGCACACGAACAAATTCTCCGAGACGATCCTCTAAGGCAGGAACAATGGCAACATCACAAGCATAAGCGCTGTGGACCTAGGTGTGGGATATGGGTAAGAGATGATAGAAGAGAGAGAATATGGAGGCAAACATGTGGAGGCAAAGCAGTGCAAAAAAAACAACTGTAATTCGTTCGATTCTGTCAAGTCTTGATCTTCCATTCTAGAGAGAGGGAACGAAAAGAGTAGGTGACGTGGGTGACGATCGCGCTGGAAATCCCTGAAGGCAAATGATGTGTGACTATATATAATTCAATGTTCAGATTCATTTATAGATTTTTTCCTTTCTTTTCAGTTCCAAGATATTCCAGAACTTTGGTTTCTTTCAGATTTTTCATCTTGTTAGATGGCAGGTTCTGCTTTTGCAAGATTTTTTTGCAAAACTCTTCTCAAAATGCCTTCCTCTGATAGGGTTCCGTTCTTCACACTCTATCCCATCTACCATCCCCCAGTCTCCGACTTTCCAGCTTTTTTGGCAAAACTCCTTTCAAAAGACTCTCCTCTGATAGCGTTCCCTTCTCACACTCTATCATATCTCCTGCCCCCAGCTTCGCGAGATTTCTCAGCTTTCTAGCTTTCACCCCCCCCAAAAAAAAAGAAAAAAAACTATATGTCGGTTGTAATTGGTGTGTGCTGAAGGGGGGTGCACAGCTCACCTGTAACAGGGGGAATTTATTGTTAGAAATGCCCACAGACAGAGAGAATTCCGCAAAAACAACTACGACCCCCTCCCCCACCCATTGGCCACGGAGTTCGGACCCGGTGAGGATCCGTAACTCACCACACACGTGCCCTCTCAACACCAATGGATCAAAAAACCGTTCTTTTATGCTGTTTCTCTCTTCTCTTATATTGAGTTTATCTCCCCCCCCCCCACCCCTTTAAATCTTGACCAACTCTTTTTGATTTTCCGTCACGAATCATCGTTTCGCTGTGATTTTTGTCAAACTTCGAAAGTAGATCGTCCATGGCCCTCCTTAATTTTAAGGGTCCAAGAAACCACCATTTTTTTTGCATTTTTCCACCTCAAATCCGAGGGATACGTGTACTGAAACCTGAAAATTCAAGTAGGGAATGTAGTAGACTTGTTCAGAGATTTCGTACGACGTGTCCATCCAAGTCTTCGCGGGCGACTTCAGATAAATAAGTAATAAATGGCCCTGGCCAAGGGATTTCCGCTAATGATTCGTGCGCCCGCAAAACATTGGTCCACGTCGTTTGAAATCATGCGTGCTGTCGGCAAGGGTTTCTTCAGTGAAGGTTGCTAGAGAAAGCTGCACTTTCAGTGGGGCGATAGCTCTGAAGAAAAAGACCTTTCGAAAAAAAAACAAGTAAAACTTTATCAGAAAATTGTGACAAAAAATCTGATTGCAAACAGGACATCGTGAAATTGGAAATGAATTTTCTCGTGAAAATTGAAGGATGGCATAGAAGTTTCTGCGTCCGTTACACGCAATACTACGCAGTGATTAGGAAAAATCAACAAAAGACTTGAATGTCCTATGTATGGAATTCCAACAACGGACAAAATCCTGGTTTTCGCATTCTTTTCTGAAAATAATGCATAAACTGCTACAGGCGATTAAGATGAAGGTTTAAAGCTTGCACCGCTAATCCCTCCCGGGATGAGGCACGCATTTTACTTCCATCCAGAAGCTAGTGTAGTGGCTGCCTGAATGCGATATGGCTTACAGTTGCTTGTGGGGATCATCCAGTATGCAAGCCAGTGTATTGTCCCTCCCGGACTAATCTGACGCCGATTCACCGGTTTAGGAGAGCACAAGGCTTGCTTGTCCTGAGATGAGGCCGAGCTAGAACTTCACTTCCCTACAAAACGTTGAGGGTTTGCGTTGCAACATACCACTTTCGCTAGACTGTTATGCTCTCTTTCTGCTTGTTTCAATAAACCAGTTCATTCTTAACTGATGGCGTTAACCCAACAAGCCAATTGGGCACGAAATAATTTTCAGTAGTTTTATTTCTCGTGGAGTCTAATGATATCACACTTTCGGTTCCCGAAGAATTGCTGCTTCCTCAGTGTATCTGCGAATCTTTGGATTTCTTCGAGGATGATACTTTTTGTTTCCCCAGGCCTAGGGAAGGTTCCATTCAGACATACGAAGAGGTTCTGGGCAGCCGGAATACCATTTCCATTGTTTACCGGGAGATGGTGTAAGGGTGGGAGGGCGCCACTTCTCAGATGCGCGATCCCGGATCGTTTCTCTCCCGGGTTGACCAAATCCCCCAGCGGAATCTGCTATTTGCTACTTTTTCTGCAGGGGCAAAGGCTCTGGCTCACAGCTCACATTGAATAGTCCCACAAGATTATGTGAGTCAAATGCCACTGCCACAGTACATAGGTGGAAGAACAAGGCACGGCGCACCCTGAAAAGGATTGCACAGTGCCCAAAGCTTGAGCTTTTCTTGTCTCTCCCACAAACACATTGGTGGGTCCCTCTTCGTCACTCCTCATATTGGCGCCACGGTCCTTCCACAAACTTCAATACCAAACTAGTCAGCATAAAATTTAATTAGCATTCCAACTCTTATCAGTAACGGTCACTGTACTGCCGTTTTGGATGGGGTTCCCAACTTTTCTATTTTCTTAATTTTCGAATTTTCTTTTCGATTGCATCGATAGCATTTTTAATGGCTCGTGATAGTTTTCTGTGGCAGTACTTTCGTCATGCAGAGGCCAAGTTTCTTTGCCATTTTGCAAAACCTGCTGGAAAATGCGGAAAATCCGCAAATAGCTGCTCATCACTAAAGGGATTTGGACCTAATTTATCGCCTATTCAGCTGGAATTCCCACTGAACTCGAAATTACCACATCATCCTAACAGCTAGGCATACAATTGTATAAGAGTAGGGTGGGGCCAGTTCAACCTCAGGACTTGTACATGCAAGTGATGAACAGCTGATTTCAAGAGTACATTACACTTATGCAAATTTTGACGCAAATTGTTTTCACAGCTGACGCTCATGAAAAGTATCATTTCAGACCGCGGAAAGTCCTGCGGAAAAGAAGCGAAGCAGCACGAACAAGCATGAATCGACCACATTACCTGCTAAGTTGGATAATAAGAAAAAGAAGCATAAACCTATGTCGCAACAACCAAAGGTAATGGCATCGTCAGAATGAGAAACGTTACCATTCGGCTATGCAAAAACCGATAACGACTCTATTATTGCCCATTGAGCCTGGTGATCCATGGGCGATTACCATCTTACAAAAACTAGTGAATGCAAAAAGTGGTAACATATAGGAGATTGGGAGTTCATCAAGCAAAGGTCTAACAGTTAGGTGCGATTCATTTTCTTCTCAGGGGAATGTAAGTCAAGGTAAAGCCAAGGGGCTAGTTTTTGACGTAAAGTTTTTCGGACAGGGCACGTCATACGCCGAGGAACTCCAGCAGGTGGGGGGGGGGGGGGGGGTGTATTCGGTAGCTGGAACAAAGGGGCGCGAGTTTCCGTGGGGGTTTTCCATGTTTTTGGTTGTTGACTTTCCGCGGTTTTTCCTGCTTCAAATGCGCTATTGGGCTATTAGCCCCCTCCCCCTCCACTCAACGGTGGTCTCCAGGAGGAGAACTGGAGTATTTCTTCGGGAAGGTGCAGGAAGTTGTGCAAACTCAAGTAGATGGTAAGTTGGGTAGGGGACGGGAGAAACGGTCGTATTCCTGGAACAAATTTCCCAACGGCAAACGTGGCCTATTTCCGGAATAGTGTGATCATATGTGAGGTACTTAGGCAAGGGGTCATCCAGGGATTTCGTGGAAGGGTCAACTCTAATGAAATAGGAGAGGGCTGCCTATAGGGATTAATGGAATTTACCGCTTTTGCCGTTATGAGTAACTAGCCTTCCCTGAACGCCCCCTTCAGCACTCCGTCACAGGACTATCAGGTCTACAATTGTACCTTTCTCATTAGCGCTCCCTCATTTTTGCCGGCTTAATGGTACGGGTGAGCAGTGAGGAGGTCACAATGGATAACTACCTCTGTCCATCCGGTCGTCATGACCTGTAAGCACCGTGGCGACTCAATCATGCGTGTTTTCAGTCACAGTCATTTGATGTCCTCCTTGAGGAGGACCCAGCAGTATTGGTGGAGGCTCTGGAAACGATAGCCGCTGAGCAGCCGATAGTTGCTCGTAGTATTCCGAAACACGCAAAGATCACTAAACGAGAAGATCGAAGCATGCGAAATTGTTTGTTTGAACAAGAGGTGGGAGTTTTTTCAGTTATATAAAAATTACAAGTTTTCAGAGCGGTAAGGTAAAGAGCAATACATTATAGACGCGGAAATTGGCATTAATGTGGTAACCGGCTAAATAACAGAGGAAATGAGATAGTCATAGCGTACTGTAATATCAGACTTGAAAACACAATTTACACCGATCCTATAGGCGGAGACAATCGACCATTGTGCCCTCCAATGAGGAATGCACAGTGGTTGGCTCCCTTGTCATAACCGTAATATTACAAATTCACTTTAGTCCCTCACGGGTATCGAGGACCCTCACTTGTATCGTAATTTCAGGCTTAAAAACGCAGTTCACACAACTAGCCTTTACCTTTATTGTAGAATAGGCCCAACGATGAGGAAAGCGCAATAGTTGGCTGGCTCTGCCTATGCGATCAGCGTGAACCGTCTTTTTAAGTGCTGCAAGAAGCCACATGGAAAGTGGGAGAATAGGATTCATTGTCAGCCTTTCTTCCAGATATATCAAATTCCATTTGGTCCGCGATGTAGGACGCCTCACGCGCAAAGGATTTCCTAAAATAAAAACTCATAGCAAAAAATAAAATAAATAAAAACAAAATAATGAAAGATAAAATGGCAGCTAGAAACACTTCTTTCTAAAATTCAATTTCAAGCTCCAATTGTAGGTGTACGACTCCATGTTAATTGATTCTCTGCGCGTATGTGATCTACTTCAAACACATCTCGACGAGTGTATCACGTCGGTTCGGGCAAAGAGCCCAGAAAATTGCCACGATACTTCGCAGGTGACGTCATTTCTCAGAAAAATCGGCTGCATATTCCAGCGTGATCTTATGAGCCGTTGCAGGCAAAATCTGATTTCATTAGGAACCAGCTTCCTGGATAAATCGTTCCGATGGAAGCATTCCAACGATTCAAGAAAAGCGTTTTCAGGATGGGCGAGATTCTGGGCGAGGAGCATCATCAGCTTCATCAACAATTTCCAGTAGCCCTGGCACGAAACGACCACTGAAATCGTGCATACGTGCAGATCTCTGACATCCAATTACACCCAATGCAGCTTACAAGATGTCATTGAACGTGAGCGTTTGAACCAGGAAGATTTATGACAGCTGTCTGATCCCAAAAATCATTTCAGAGTTCCGGGTTTCGATTTTTGTACAGGCTGTCAAATCAGTTAGTTGACCACTGAGCAATAAACGGAGTTTACGTATCATGGATATTTGCACCAGATCAAGCACTAATAGTCACGGAGCAACTAATCGATGAATCGATCAAAATCGCTCCGCGACCGCACGCGTCCCAGCAATCATCGAGGCTAAATGATCTTTGTCAGATATAAACGCATTTATTCGGCGCTTCCTCTCTTTATTAGTCCATGTGAGCCTCAGACGTTGTTGCCACGCTCTCTTTTATCCCGATTACCTCCTCATCTTCCCTTCGCGTCACACACCCCAAGAGTTTTGTGATCTTTTGCGTCTAGAAATTCTTCTTCCGCTTTTCTTGACTTATCTCAATATCTTTGTAGCTCTGTACATGTATTTGAAAATGCGACCACCTTGTGAAACCATTGATTACAGGTGTACCAGTTAGCAGCTTACTTCATGTAATAAACGAATGTACATTCCATTGAAGTCACATGTGTCATTTGACCTTTCAGTTTTCGAAGGCTCAAAGTCAAATTAACATAGCAACCCATGGATTACTGGGTCAAACCTGGCGCAGTTAGGCTCGGGGGAATGCTTTCACTTCCGCTACATCCCCTTGTCGTGCTGAAACATAAAAGAGGTTTGTGAAATTCTGTGAAGCCATGAAGTTATATCAGTCAAGGTTTAGGGAATAGACCTGTCAACTTTTGTTGAGCAATGAACTGACAATAGGAAGTAGGGTACGTGCAAGATTCCTGCCCTCCCACGAACAGAACTGCGCTGCAAACCTTCCTTTCTGGATAAAAAAATATGACCGCGCTTGGCGTTCTGCGACGGGATAATAAGAACTTTGGTAACCCAGAGCGCAAAAAGTGGTGTGGGGAGGGAGGGGGAGGCACGCGAGGGCACGGATTAGTTTGCACATTCACACTATTTGAAGAGATTTTGATAGCTTCGCTCCCCTAGGCTCAATTAGAAAAGCGAGTATGACCAGAGTGGATAGTCTTGTCTCAGCACGTGCAGCCTTCCCCACAATAGGATTTAGCGTCGGCACATTGCCGATACAAGCTGCAGCCTCGAGAAGTGCAGCAAGAAAAATCGCAACACGTCATATGGAGCGAAGAAAGATAGGGAGAGCTCACGGCAGAGGGCCAGGACCGAATTGAAATATCTATCTACGCCATGATTAAATAAAGTTGACCGCCCCTACCCCATCTAGGGTATGAGGACTTTAGGTGGCGGCGAAAGGACACACGCGGTGAGAGAAGGCTTTCCGCCAAGTAAATACGGTATCCGTGCTCAGTGAGTCTAGCTATAGCTTCATACAAGTTTTCAGCACATTTTTTGCTTTGAGATGCTTTGGCGCAGGTGCCTGACCGAGGTGCCAGGCGTCTTCGAACCGAGAGGTATTCGTGTTCGGAGGATCAATTGCTCCAGAGGGCTCAATTCCAGGTCACTTTCTACTAGTTCATAGCTTGCGATTAAAATCAGATCCAACGACAACTAGTCATACCGAAGGAAGTGTGAGAAAGCGTCGGTACTACCTTCAAAAACCAGTGTCTCGCTACTACTTCATTTTACTATCTACTGCTACTAGCCCTAACCATGGCACTTCTGGGCGATGCCTAGAAAGTTGCGAAAGAGAGCCTTCCTTCGGTACCGCTCCCTCTCAGAAACCACCAGTGCTTTGACGAGGTTTACCCTCAAACTCAGCCGTGAAAAGTGGCGACGTGAAAGACACCTCTCCAACTATCCGAAATAGTAGCTTCGCGGAACCGCCAACAAGCGAACGGAACAGCGAACCACGAGGGGAGGGGGGAGGTGGGGGAGGAGGGTAGAGGCAGATGTCGCGCCGAAACAGAAAAAAAATTGAAGCTCATAAAAAAGTTTTTCATAGGACAAATACGACTCTCCTTCCTTCCTGCGACAGCACCAAAATATGACTCTCCTTGGGGATGGCCAGCAATTGATGTACCTTGTTTCCAAAGCTTTCGCCCAACCCGAATTTCCCCAGAATTTTGCTGACTGCTGACGAGCGTGGGGGAAGGGGGGGGGGCAGCACCCAACGTGCCTGGAATGTTATTAATGTTGAAAACAACAACAACAGCCAAGAAATCGTCTCAATATAATTTGCGTTATTAAGCGCTTTACTTGCAAGAACGAGTGATAGCAATCAAAAAAATGACTTAGAGTTACTTATTAACACAAAATTGAAGCAATCACTCGTAAGCTGAACATACAGCACGTGACCCGAAATTGTAATTGGAAATAAAATTAATAATTAAAGATTATTATAGAAAAGAAGAGAAAAAGAGAGGAAGTAAGTAAATGAACTAGCTTTGATTACACGGGGATGATGAGATGAAAATGATGACATAGAATCACGTGACCTATATATATTATAGATATTATAACCGATCTATGAAATATTCAGTACAAAGAGTAGCAACATATAATACTACAAAGTAATAAAACGACGATGAATCAAGCGGAAAGGGTGCAGAGATTTGTTGAGTGGTGTGAATTAGTGAGGGAGTTTGACCTCATTGAACCAGTAATACTACTCTTTGACTTATCAGTGAATATTAACAAGCACATGCAATATATCAACAGTTATTAACAACAATAGGTCGTTACCAGCACACATACCTATGATACATTACTCGAAAGATTGTAGTGAGATCATTATGGGGAGACCTTGGAGGCTAACTAACTTGCCGTCCTAAAGGGTGAAAATATCTGAGAACATCTGAATATGGCAGTGGATTGAGAGTAAGAGTTCCATGGTGATGAGGTACGAAGGAGTCTGAACCTCATACTAACACTGAGTTCGTCCCAGTTACTGATTCAGGCGCTGTGAACTTGGTGGAGACCAGCTCTTTCTGGAAAAAAGTTTGATTATTAGCCTGCTTGTCGACAGCGATTGAAATCCTGTAGGCGGAGACAGTCGACCATGGTGCCTTCCTCACTGGCAAGCATCCCTCCGACCGTGTTTGGAGAAGAAATCCAATAATGGGGAAGGCGAAATGGCTGGCTCTATCTGCCCACACAATCAGTGCGTACTGTGTCTTTGAGTACAACAAAATTTTTTAGGTTTTTCGATAATTTTGTAAGCATTATGAAGTACTCGTAATCATTAGAAGCTACAATTTGAGTCAGCAAAGAGTTAAGTATTGATAGCCTTCGAAATTCGTTCGAGAGTACAGAAACCGTGACTTATCGGCGTTAGAATAGGAAATTAAGTAAAAAAGGGAATCGAAATAGGAAACCCTCTAGGTGGGTCAAGCGACTGGAGCTGCCACGTACGCCGAAACTAACTTGGTGCAAGCGGAATTCCCCAATCAGGTGAGGCGATTTACTGTAGTAATTTCGGCCGCTAAGGACCGCTCACTATGCAAGGGGGAGGAGGGAGTTCACATACGAAGCATCCAAGCCTTACGTCCCTCTGGCGCGGGCACTTTGGTACCAGACGTGGGGAGAAAACGATAACCTATACGTCGACTGAAACCTCCGATCACTGCACAAGAAAAACCGCTTGTCAAAATCACTTCGAGTTAACGCGTACCAGTAAAATGGAAGGCGGAATTATTTCTGGAGGGTCCCTTATATGAGATCCTCTTTTTGTAGTGGATTCTGTGCATTGGTCAAGCGAGTGGAGAGGTGACAAAACACTGGGCGTGTGGAGGAGGGCCCAGACAAACGCGGGCGAGAGCAATACAACCGCGCACATTACAAGAGAAAGTGAAAATCGATGGCAGCGTTGCACAGCAGTGTGCTTGGTGCATGTTCAGCTGATGTGAGCGAACCACGGGTAAACACCACGGGCACCTCTTACCGTCCTTGGAAAGCACTTTGTAGTGGCAAAGGTGGCAT